AGGGGTGTGTGTGTGTGTGTGTGTGTGTGTGTGTGTGTGTGTGTGTGTGTGTGTGTGTGTGTGTGTGTGTGTGTGTGTGTGTGTGTGTGTGTGTGTGTGACTGACTGACTGACTGACTGACTTCGTACCTGGATACTAACCTGACTTTCCTCTTGTGTTATTTCTGACTATTCCTTCACCCCCCACCCCCCCAAAAAAGGAACATTAATCTATCTTAAGTGCGCGATATGTCACACCTTGTACAACTAATTTGCATAACAGTACACTTGTGGGGCACATATTTAAGGTGACTAAGTACATCAGTAGTATAATTTTATCCCATAAATTGTATTGTACATCACTTTCTATACTCAGTATGTGTGTTATCAGCTGTTATGTCCAATTTGTGGGGTAAAAGTGTATGACCTGATGACCCACACTTCCTACTTCCCCCCACAGTGCCACTCTTAAATTCATTATTCAGGACCCACCTACAGCAACAGCGGCCTCCCCTCTCATTTTTTATACCTACCACCTCTTGTCATGTCCCTCCCTCCCTTCCTTCCTCCACCCAACTTTCCTCTTAACTATGACCTCCAGTTTTACCTTACCTGCAGGAAGGTCACGGAGTTATTGTATTACCTCCAGCTTCCGAGGAGGAGGAGGAGGAGGTGGTGCTGTTGGCCTCCTTACTAGTGCTTGGAGGTGAATAAATCTGACATTGTAATATGACTCATTACTTATCTTATTAACCTAACCTAACCTTTAGTTCCAACACAAAACAATATATACAAACGAGTGTATTACAATATTTATAACTATGTCGTTGTCAATGCCTATGTTGTTGTTGTTGTTGTCAGCTGTGCGAGGTAGGCTGTCCATCTCGCCTCACCCAACCAAACAATAACATCCCTCACACTCCTAGGCCATCCTCAGGTATACAGTACTGGCTAAATAAATAAAAAATCCCTCTGCATCTAGTACAATAATAATAATAATTTACTTTTATTTGTTTTTTTTACTTGTAACAATGAAGGTATAATGAGGAACAATTACATTTGGTTTCTCTCATTACAGGTATACAGTGCAAGGGCTTCTTAGTTACCTGGTACTGTACCTGTGTCGTGGGAACAGTCTGTCTTTACCTGGGTATTATAATCAACTACACACACCTGACTTGAGGTTCTGATGCCTCTTGTATATGATGACTTGATCCCTTGTAGGTGGTGGGGTGGGGTGGGTGTTGTGGTAGGGTGGGTGTAGTAGGTGTTGTGGTGGGTGTAGGAGGTGTTGTGGTGGGGTGGGTGTAGGGAGGTGTTGTGGTGGGGTGGGTGTAGGAGGTGTTGTGTTGGGTGTGGGTGTAGGAGGTGTTGTGGTGGAGGAGGTGTTGTGGAGGGAGGTGTTGTGTGGGTGTAGGTGGTGGGGTGGGCTGGGTGGGTGTAGGAGGTGGAGGTGTTGTGGTGGGTGTAGGAGGTGGTGGGGTGGGTGTAGGAGGTGTTGTGGTGGGGTGGGTGCAGGAGGTGGTGGGGTGGGTGTAGGAGGTGTTGGTCTCCAGCAGGAACAGGAAGGCACTGTCAGACAACGCTGGTGGGCGGAGAGCGGACGTGTTTCCGTCTGTTACTGGCACTCCCCTTAAGAGCAACCTTGGCACTCTGGTTAAGTCATACTCAAGGGGTTAAGTCATACTCAAGGGGTTAAGTCATACTCAAGGGGTTAAGTCATACTCAAGGGGTTAAGTCATACTCAAGGGGATAAGTCATACTCAAGGGGTTAAGTCATCATGCTCAAGGGGTTAATGCATCATACTCAAGGGGTTAATGCATCATGCTCAAGGGGTTAATGCATCATACTCAAGGGGTTAATGCATCATACTCAAGGGGTTAATGCATCATACTCAAGGGGATAAGTCATCATACTGAAAGGGTTAAGTCTCATACCCAAGGGAAAATATCTCGCTAGGATAAAAGTCCAGCTAGGGAAAAAACGAGTTGAACCCAGACAATACTAGGGAAAGAAAGGAAAAGGTGCCATTGAGCGCCAACTGTAAGAGGCCTTTGTGTGGCACTGTTGAGCCTGCAGTCGTGAGGTCGATATTATCTTGCTCCTGGCACTGTGTCCATGACCTGCCTGGCACTGTACCCATGACCTCCTAGCACTGTACCCATGACATCCTGGCACTGTACCCATGACCTGCCTGGCACTGTACCCATGACCTGGCACTGTACCCATGACCTTGCCTGCCTGTACCCATGAACTCCCTCCTATAGTACCTTAAATAGGGTTACACAGACATACAGACAGACAGAGGGATGCACATACATACAGACAGACAGACAGACAGAGGGATGCACATACAGACAGACATACATACATACAAGTAAACAAACAAACACAACGGGCGTGAATCAAACAGTATATATATATATTTTTTTTTTTCTACATAGATGGCGGGGCACACACACACACACGCACACACACACACACACACACACACACACACACACACACCACCCAACACGACGTGAGTTTAACCAATTTTATTTTTATTTATTTATTTTTTTTAGAGAATAGCTTTTTTTTTCTTTTTCTTTTTAATCTTAGGAAGAAAAAACGTGTTAAGGTGTATGAATGTGTGTAAGAATAGCTGCCCAAGTTACACCAGTTACACGTAAAGTCGACTTAAAGGATTTTGTGGAGTTGGTGTTTCTTGACCCCCACTCGTGTTGCTGTTCCTGGCCCCCGCTCGTGTTGCTGTTCCTGGGCCCCGCTCGTGTTATTGTTCCTGGGCCCCACTCTGTGTTGCTGTTCCTGGCAATTCCGGCCCCGCTCGTGTTGCTGTTCCTGGCCCCGCTCGTGTTGCTGTTCCTGGCCCCCGTTATTGTTCCTGGCCCCGCTCGTGTTGCTGTTCCTGGCCCCTGGCCCCGCTCGTGTTGCTGTTCCTGGCCCCCGCTCGTGTTGCTGTTCCTGCAGGACTCCCGTATGAAAGGTGTTTGGAGTTTCATTAATATATGTACAGTATATAAGTTATCGTTGTGTTCAGCATATATCATGGCCATTGGTGAAGTGGACGGGTTAGTGTGTGTGACCTGTGGTGTAAAGATCAGCATGCTCGCCTCGCAACCGAGTGGACCCAGGTTCGATCCCCGGGCAGGGTGAAACTATGGGCAAGTTTCTTTACGCCATTTGTCTCTGTCTACCCAGCAGTAATTGGGAACCTGGATGTTAATCGATTTGCGGATCGTGTTCCTGGGTAATGGTTAGCCAGTGCAGTTGGCGAGTTGTCCGGTCTTCTCGGACTATTCCTTGGCACTAGGTCATGCAGCTCGTTAACTCAGGGTGTGGTTGTTGTGTTGGCGACAGCTTCTACACCTTAAACAAATTCACGCCTAGGTGGCTCTAGGGCCGGCCATCCTCGAACACGGGGGGCAACCATTATTATATGTGTATACAGTGAGCAATAACCCAACCCTAACTAGTGTTGTCACCGCTGCAGTAGAACGTCAAGGCAGCATCAGGAGGGTGAATGTTATAGATGGTACACTATCAGTCACTATTATCTCTCCCCCTCTGGAACATATACAGTATTAATTACCTACATCTCTCCCTATCTCACCTGCCATCCGGGTCTATACAGGTAACCTAGTTGGCTGGATCGCTCGACTCAAAAACAACAAAAACAATCATCTATTTAACCTTACCTTACCTAACCTAACCTAACCTAACCTAACCTTACCTAACCTAACCTAACCTAACCTTACCTTACCTTACCTTACCTAACCTAACCTAACCTTACCTAACCTAACCTAACCTAACCTAACCTTACCTTACCTTACCTTACCTCACCTCACCTCACCTAACCTTACCTTACCTTACCTAACCTAACCTAACCTAACCTTACCTTAGTCGAATAAATTTGTTGTTTTTATCTTTGTCTAAGTAAGGATCACCTTAAATATATCGCCCCAGACAGTTTATGTCATTCATCTCAGTGTCTTGTGTACTAGTAAACATTTGAGTGAGCACACACACACACACACACACACACACACACACACACACACACACACACACACACACACACACACAAAATCCTGGGTCATTTCTCAATGCCCCTCAGTCAACTAATATTTTCCCACTGATTCAAAACAACAACAACAAAGACAACAGTATGATGTCGAAGTGGGAATGAGGGTGGGGGTAAGGGTGAGGTGGGGCGAGGTCAGGTGGGGTGGGGTGGGGTGGGGCGGGGTCGGGTGGGGCGGAGCTGGGGTGAGTTAGGGGAGGGCATACATTGTGTAGAGTTCCATGTTATATTCACCACCATCTCCTTCACCACACTCCCGGCCTGACACTCACTCCCGGGTCCAGCTGCCAGGAATAAAAACGTGATAATTGGAGTTTGGCAGCCAGCTGTCTGTCTTAATTATGTGTGTTGCAGCACCACCTGTCACCACCTGCTGCATGGTCATGTGAGTTGCAGCACCACCTGGCACCACCTGCAGCATGGTGGCGTGTGTTGCAGCACCACCTGTCACCACCTGCTGCATGGTCATGTGAGTTGCAGCACCACCTGGCACCACCTGCAGCATGGTGGCGTGTGTTGCAGCACCACCTGTCACCACCTGCTGCATGGTGGCGTGTGTTCAGCACCACCTGGCACCACCTGCAGCATGGTGGCGTGTGTTGCAGCACCACCTGTCACCACCTGCTGCATGGTGGCGTGTGTTGCAGCACCACCTGTCACCACCTGCTGCATGGTGGCGTGTGTTGCAGCACCACCTGGCACCACCTGCAGCATGGTGGCGTGTGTTGCAGCACCACCTGTCACCACCTGCTGCATGGTGGCGTGTGTTGCAGCACCACCTGGCACCACCTGCAGCATGGTGGCGTGTGTTGCAGCACCACCTGTCACCACCTGCTGCATGGTGGCGTGTGTTGCAGCACCACCTGTCACCACCTGCAGCATGGTGGCGTGTGTTGCAGCACCACCTGTCACCACCTGCTGCATGGGTGGCGTGATGTTACTGGCACCCTGTCACCACCTGCAACATGGTGGCGTGTGTTGCAGCACCACCTGACCCACCTGCAGCATGGTGGCGTGTGTTTGCAGCACCACCTGTGTCACCACCTGCAGCATGGTGGCGTGTGTTGCAGCACCACCTGTCACCTGCCGCATGGTGGCGTGTGTTTGCAGCACCACCTGGCACCCACCTGCAGCATGGTGGCGTGTGTTGCACAGCACCACCTGTCACCACCTGCAGCATGGTGGCGTGATGTTCCGCAGCACCACTGTCACCACCTGCAGCATGGTGGCGTGATGTTGCAGCACCACCTGTCACCACCTGCAGCATGGTGGCGTGTGTTGCAGCACCACCTGTCACCACCTGCTGCATGGTCATGTGAGTTGCAGCACCACCTGGCACCACCTGCAGCATGGTGGCGTGTGTTGCAGCACCACCTGTCACCACCTGCTGCATGGTCATGTGAGTTGCAGCACCACCTGGCACCACCTGCAGCATGGTGGCGTGTGTTGCAGCACCACCTGGCACCACCTGCTGCATGGTGGCGTGTGTTGCAGCACCACCTGTCACCACCTGCTGCATGGTGGCGTGTGTTGCAGCACCACCTGTCACCACCTGCTGCATGGTGGCGTGTGTTGCAGCACCACCTGTCACCACCTGCAGCATGGTGGCGTGTGTTGCAGCACCACCTGTCACCACCTGCAGCATGGTGGCGTGTGTTGCAGCACCACCTGTCACCACCTGCAGCATGGTGGCGTGTGTTGCAGCACCACCTGTCACCACCTGCTGCATGGTGGCGTGTGTTGCAGCACCACCTGTCACCACCTGCTGCATGGTGGCGTGTGTTGCAGCACCACCTGTCACCACCTGCTGCATGGTGGCGTGTATTGCAGCACCACCTGTCACCACCTGCAGCATGGTGGCGTGTGTTGCAGCACCACCTGTCACCACCTGCAGCATGGTGGCGTGTGTTGCAGCACCACCTGTCACCACCTGCCGCATGGTGGCGTGATGTTGCAGCACCACCACAATATCACCACCTGCTGCATGGCCATGTGATTGCAGCACCACCTGTCACCATCTACTGCATGGTGGTGTGTGTTCTGCAACACCACCTGTCTGCCACCTGCAGCATGGTGGCGTGATATTTGCAGCACCACCTGTCACCATCTACTGCATGGTGGCGTGATATTACAGCACCACCTGTCACCACCTGCAGCATGGTGGCGTGATGTTGCAGCACCACCTGTCACCACCTGCTGCATGGTGGCGTGATATTTGCAGCACCACCTGCGGCGGCATGGTGGCGCTGATGTTACAGCACCACCTGTCACCACCTGCAGCATGGTGGCGTGATGTTCACAGCACCACCTGTCACCATCTACTGCATGGTGGCGTGATGTTACAGCACCACCTGTCACCACCTGCTGCATGGTGGTGTATTGTTTATACACCACCTGTCACCACCTGCAGCATGGTGGCGTGATGTTGCAGCAGCACCACCTGTCACCACCGCCGCATGGTGGCGTGTGTTGCAGCACCACCTGTCACCACCTGCTGCATGGTGGTGTGTATTTGCAACACCACCTGTCACCACCTGCAGCATGGTGGTGTGTGTTGCCAGCACCACCTGTCACCACCTGCCGCATGGTGGCGTGTGTTGCAGCACCACCTGTCACCACCTGCAGCATGGTGGCGTGTGTTGCACAGCACCACCTGTCACCATCTACTGCATGGTGGTGTATTTTGCGCACCACCTGTGTCACCACCTACAGCATGGTGGCGTGATGTTTGCAGCACCACCTGTCACCACCTGCAGCATGGTGGCGTGACACCTGTCACCACCTGCTGCATGGTGGCGTGTGTTGCAGCACCACCTGTCACCACCTGCAGCATGGTGGCGTGTGTTGCAGCACCACCTGTCACCACCTGCAGCATGGTGGCGTGTGTGTGTGGCCGCAGACTCGTCCCCCGTCTCCAGGAAGGAAAAACAATAAGCAGCATAAGAACTCTGGTAGACTTTTCTTTTTGTTAGAGTTTAAATTAACAAGTTGACGCCTGCCTTCCCACGTCTCCAAATAGGGGGGGGGGCGAGGGGGGGAGTTACCGTAGGAACCTTTGAGAATATAATAGTTGTCATGGCTTAAGTGAACTGGTGTCAACTTTGAAGGAAAACTTAAGAAGCTTTGAGAATACTGGTGAAAAACTTTGGAAAAAAAATTAACTTACATAATTTGAGAATATTGAAGACTGTAGCTGGGAATCAACAGTCGGAGAGATACTGTCACACTTAGGTTGATGGGTTAACAGTCTAGTTGACACATGAACGAACAATTAGTCACTATTTCGAAGATTTGTTCAAAGATTGATTCAGCTGGGACAGACGACACCACACCTTGTTCTGCTCAGTGTTTAGCCCTCTCAGTGCTGAAGTTCCCCCAAGTTGAATAAAATCGTTTAGCCGAAGCCTGAATAAAATCCTGAAGTGTTGAGAGCACTGAACGGGTTAATGCTTTGCTGTAACACACACACACACACACACTGTAAGAGCCTCTTGGTGTTGCTGTCAATACTCAGTGATCAGACTGCAGTATAATATTAGCAGCAGGGTGACTGGTCAAGCTCACGGGGTCAAAGGTCAAGGTAAAGGGGGTCAGAGGTCATTGAGTCACTCTGCTGTAGGATAGACCAGTCACTATTATGTAACTTGCCGACATAATCCATAACCCTTCAGGCACTTGTGTTCATAATGGCACGAGTCACGAAAGCAAGTATGGACCCAGCATATGGTTCCTTGTAAACGCTTTAACTCTTCACCTCGTACACGATGTAAGTGGGTGCCCAATAAACTAGCCTGAGAATCTAGTAACTGAACTAATTTATTTATTCCTATTAATGCTGTACGGTGGTGGTGGTGGTGGTGGGAGGGCCAGGCAGTGTTAGGGTGTCTCCCAGTTTATCAACCCGAGGGCCAGGTATGATAGATGGTCAATGATGATGGACGTAAAGGATAGTTTATATTCGCCCTTAAAAGCAGTTCCCATTAGTATCACCCTGGGGGAGGAATCGTCACCCTTACACGATAGATGTGACGATGGCAGGTGTACAGGTAAGGGAGGAAGGGCAGGTGTACACATGCACCCAGTCTCGTCCTGATACTTGCACCTCACCTGACACCACCGTCACCTCACTTGACACCTGCAACCACCTTCCCTCATTTGACACCTGCCACCACCTTCCCTCACCTGCCATCACCTTCCCTCACCTGCCATCACCTTCCCTCACCTGCCATCAAGCTCGTAATTGGTCAAGGTGTCAGAGGTCACTTGGGCGAGTTTAATGATATCTATTAAAGGTTCTCCACTAAATAAGGTTTATCTCGAATTATTGCCATTGTCCTCGAGGGGTTAAAGTGTTGTTCTCGAGGGGTTAAGATATCGTCCTCGAAGGGGTTAAAGTGTTGTCCTCGAGGGGTTAAAGTGTTGTTCTCGAGGGGTTAAGATATCGTCCTCGAAGGGGTTAAAGTGTTGTCCTCGAGGGGTTAAAGTGTTGTCCTCGAGGGGTTAAAGTGTTGTCCTCGAGGGGTTAAGATATCGTCCTCGAAGGGGTTAAAGTGTTGTCCTCGAGGGGTTAAGATATCGTCCTCGAAGGGGTTAAAGTGTTGTCCTCGAGGGGTTAAGATATCGTCCTCGAAGGGGTTAAAGTGTTGTCCTCGAGGGGTTAAGATATCGTCCTCGAAGGGGTTAAACCATTGTCCTCGAGGAGTTAAACCGTCGTCCTCAAGGGGTTAAATCATCATTCATCATCACTAAAGTTTAAAGTTAAGTCACTTTTACTTTGCTAGTCTGCGTAGGCTAACAAAGGCAGTCATGATGTGTGTGTGTGCGTGTGTGTGTGTGTGCGCGCGCGACGAGACTTCACCACCTTTGTTTTTCACCCATCCCATCACGACCCACTTCACTGTGTTGGACTACAATAGCTGCCCTCACTTCCGCCTCTAAACCTGTATGGCATCTCCCTTCAATGGTAACTATTGTATATTAGTGATTCCTGCTATTTTTGCTATTTATTTTTGTTATCGTATTTTCCTATTTGTTTATCGTGTTTATGGTAAGTTAGATTAAGATAGGGTAGGTTAGGGTAGGTTTGGTTAGGTTAGGGTAGGGTATGGTAGGTTAGGTTAGGGTAGGTTAGGTTAGGTTAGGTATGGTAGGTTATGGGTAAACAAAGAGACGGATAGAGCCAGCGACAGAGTAATACACTTCCCGTCTCTCTCTTGCCTCACACCCTGTCTCTCTCTCTCTCCTGCTAATACACTTCCCGTCTCTCTCTCTCTCTCTCTCTCTCTCTCTCTCTCTCTCTCTCTCTCTCTCACTTGGAGCGCCACACTATCTACCCTCCACAGCGTCAGGTCACAACGGCTGTACCAACACCATTAGATCGTCCTTCAATCTCAAGTGTGACCTCATCTGACCTGTGACCTGACCCTCGCTCATACTCGGGAGGGTCATCCTTGAGGGTAGACAACAAGGACAGTATGAACAACAACAGAACAAGGACAACAGGGAAAGAAACTAGGACCATGAGAACAAAAACAAGAATAACAAGAACAGAACAGCAGCAACAAGAACAACAAAGACAAAACAACAAAATAATAACAACAGGACAAGGACAACAACAACGAAAGAACGAGGAAGAGGAACAATAACATAACACGAACAACAACAATAACAATACCAACAACAACAACAACTACAATGCTTGATGAATGAATCAGCTGAGGGTTGAGTGGGGCAGGTCGATACAGCTTACCTGGAGGACCCTGAACGACCATGGTATTATGGCCCCCTAGTACCACCGCCATGACCACCAGGGGGAAGAATATGGTCCATCAAGGCCACTAAAGACCATTAAATGACCTTCACTAAAATTAATGGCCCAATAAATAACTGTGAACAAACAGGAGAGGATAATGGCCCTTTAGGAGCACTAGGGAATATGCTATGAGTTTATGACCACTAAGGACCATTATAATTCATAATCTCCGACCACCAGAGGCCATTGTGATGGTCTTGGTACATCACATGAGGCCAGATGGTGATACCCCCATGTTCCCATATACCACAGGGACCATTTCAAGGCCCTCATGTACCCACGACGGGCCATTTTATGATCTTTACATGTGTCCGGGATTAGCCTACAACGGGCCATTTCAATAACATAAATAACACTGAGACCATGATCATGGCCTACAATGGCCTAAGCTAGACCCGTGCATTTAATACCAGTTAGGAGACAAACTTTTTTTTTTTTTTTTTTAATTTTCATACCTTAATTTTGTCTCCTAACTGGTGCTAAGTGAAGGTATCTAGTTAAGGTAGAGTCTCAGTGTTAATTTTGTCTCCTAACTGGTGCTAAGTGAAGGTATCTAGTTAAGGTAGAGTCTCAGTGTTAATTTTGTCTCCTAACTGGTGCTAAGTGAAGGTATCTAGTTAAGGTAGAGTCTCAGTGTTAATTTTGTCTCCTAACTGGTGCTAAGTGAAGGTATCTAGTTAAGGTAGAGTCTCAGTGTTAATTTTGTCTCCTAACTGGTGCTAAGTGAAGGTATCTAGTTAAGGTAGAGTCTCAGTGTTAATTTCAGTACTATTTTCGAATGTTTATTTAATGTTTTACCTTAAGTCAACATTCTCACATGTTACGGAAGGGAAACATTCATCACCCGAGCCTTTTGTGAATCAAAAGGAGGGAGGGGGGCTGAGGGGGCTACAGGGGTCAAGTTATTACCCCACAAGAGTAACTGCCTTAACTTATGGTCCTTAACTCTGGAATAATGGAAGATGTGGTAATTATTATGACGTATGAAGAGGTGTGAGGGGGTAGGGGGGGTGTGGGAGATGGTGGTGTTGGAGGGTTAGGTGGGGGAGGTCGTGAGGGGGGGCCGTGAGGGGAGACAGTAAGAACCTTACATATGGGCTATGGAGTTTTTTCCCCTCACTCCCTGA